CAAGCCTGGGATATGAGAGAAATTCAGTTACCTTTTCACTTAAGTTGCCCACAACACCAAAATGCAGCCATCCTTAGAAACGTTTACTTCCCTGAATTTTGCAATGTAGTTCTTCAACCCAAAAATGCATGTATGAAGGGGCGAAGGGCATATATGAAAGAGTTGCTAAAATAGGGAAAATATAAACATTTTCAAAATGGGGTGGGTAAATGTTATTAATGGGGACAACTGCATCCAAAGATACGAACACTTAAAATGCTGGCTGATTTTCACAAGTTGAGAACTGCTGCAGAAACGAGCTGAGCTTAAGAGTGGGAAAACAAGAGACATCAATGAAGCCAAACTGACAGGTCCTCCCGTCCCGAGTGAAAGCCAATCTGTGTCCCCATCGCACACCTTACACCGGCAACCCCGGGGCAGGTGTCTCCAATGTGCAAACTTTAAAGACAAAAGGGAAAAGGGCAAAACGCTGCCTTGGGTGGGGTTCCCCTCCCCCGCTGCTTTTCATTGTAATCACTTTGTGTGAGTAGCATCTGAGCAGCTGAGAAAGGGAGAAGAAGGGAGAGCCCCTTAACACTTTCTCTGCTCCTTCTTTCATTCCACTGTGATGCGTGCTAACTTCATAGGTAAGGGAGCAGGTGTATAAACATGCGCGGGTGGGAAAGGAACAAGGCGGGAGGGAGATTAGATTTCAAAGCTTCCTAGCCCGTCCTGGGAAGGAGGCAGGCATGTTTTGCTAGAAACTCCTCGTCTGGCATTATAATGCACCTCCACTCAGCCCAGCATTGTTGCCAACGGTAGGGATTTTCCCAGCATTTAATCTTTTTTAGAAAAGGCGTAGTTGCAAGGCTCAGAGCTACACTCTTGAATCTGGAAGCTGGTCTCCTCTCCCCAGATATGCAGAGGTAGACCATGGCTATTCTGACCCATTTTAATTTAGCTGGTGATTTAGCATTTAGCCCAGGCATCCTCATATTCAGCCCTCCAGCTGTTTTGGGACTACAACTCCCACCATCCCTAGCTAACAGGACCAGTGGTCAGGGATGATGGGAACTGTAGTCCCAAAACATCTGGAGGGCTGAATTTGGGGATGCCTGATTTAGCCTGTTCCAACGTACCAGTGAGGATAAAAGCAGGAAGGGCTGTGGTTGTGGCAATAAGAGTTTTTGTGGGAAATGACGGCAGCAAGCTCTGAGAATCAGTAATGTGGCCGCAGCTGGGATTTTCCCAGTCTCACCTAGGCACCAAGCATTTAAATACAAAAAGGACAGGCAGGAAATAATCAACCCGAGATATTTAATACCTATGTCCAGCGGTGAGGAGACGAGGCTTTCCTTACGCACGTTCCAAGCACTCCCTTCTTAATTATTCCTCTGGCATTCAAGGCAAGTTCCTGGGCTGATCCCTACTCAAATTAAACCCTGGATTTTCCCTTGCACTTAGGAATGTATTAGAATCATAATTACAAGTAGTGATCTAGGAGCAGACATGGACCCGAGCCAGGAGGAGAGGGAGCTTTGCAGAAGCAGCTCCACTTTGGTGCAAGATTAGCAGCAAGGTGAATAAGCTGCAGGCCAAAGTGAAGCCATCTGCTTGCAGCCCCATTGGCCCATATATACGATATCTTTATTGTCATTGTCCCATGCAGAACAATGAAACTGAAAAACTACGTAAAACATTCAAAAACCCCTAAAAACTCTGAAACCCCATTTTAAAATACACTATACTATAGAGACCCCTTATGGGACGCGGGTGGCACTGTGGGTAAAAGCCTCAGTGCCTAGGACTTGCCGATCGAAAGGTCGGCAGTTCGAATTCCCGCGGCGGAGTGCGCTCCTGTTGCTCGGTCCCAGCGCCTGCCAACCTAGCAGTTCGAAAGCACCCCCGGGTGCAAGTAGATAAATAGGGACCGCTTACTGGCGGGAAGGTAAACAGCGTTTCCGTGAGCTGTGATGGCTCGCCAGATGCAGCTTCGTCACACTGGCCACGTGACCCGGAAATGTCTCTGGACAGCGCTGGCTCCCGGCCTCTTTAGTGAGATGGGCGCACAACCCTAGAGTCGGACACGACTGGCCCGTACGGGCAGGGCTACTTTTACCTTTACCTTTATAGAGACCCCTTATGCTGCGTTTAGAACCAGAATTGCATTTGCGTAGAAACTGTTTCTCAGGCTGCTAGTCCTAGCCTTTATAACCCTGTACCTTCTTCCAGAAGGCAGAAGCTGAAAGAGATCATTTCCGGGGTGCGTACTATCCTGCACTATCTCTGCCGCTTTCTTATGGCACCTGACAGCATAGATTTGATCTAAGGTGGGAAGAGTGCACCCAATTATTCTCTGCAGTCTTTACAAGCCTGGACAGCATTGTTTTTCTGCTGACTGTGCAGCGCCCAAACCACACACACAGACCATAATACACTCTCCACAGTGCAATGGTAAAATGCCATCAACAGGTCCCATCACTCTCGTGCTGCAGAGAAGAGGTCCTCCCAAAGGCTCCTGCACCTGTTATCTTGCACTCCCCCCCCACACACACACAGGGGATGCAATAGAAGCACAGTGCATTTGTTGGAGTCACACAGAGCCTCTGCCCCAGCCACAAAAGGATGACTGTGCTCTGCTGGAGGGGACTGAATGGCAATACTCTTAGTCAGGGACCATTTTCAGGAAGGGGTAGTGAAGGATGAGCCAGCCCAAGTCTCTTAGTGAGCTGCCAGAAAGCCCTTTTCGTCACAAACGTCAGTCCTTCCCAGCGCCAGCTCCAGGTTTGACAGGAGCCCTGAGCAAAACGACAACAGTGGGGCCTCCTGCTGCGTCAGTGTGTCGTGGTGCGCTCTGGTTGTGGTGGCAGCTGCTTCGGGCAATGCTGGGCTGGATCTAGACACGTCCAGAAAGTGTTTCAGGAAATGCGTTGTAAACCTCAAAGTGGGATATATCACGTTGGTGAAAGACGGAACCCCACAGCGCCATCTGGTGTCACGGTGTTATAATGCATATAAAATGCTTTTTCTTTACTAATGTAGCAGAGTCCCTGGACGGCTGTATCTAACCACCCTTTGGACTTTCCCCAGTGCTCTAGTCTAGAGCACAGGTGGGGCACCTTTCCCACCAAGTGGTGTGTGGTACCAGAGGCAAAAGTGAGCTGAGCAGCCAATGTATCTCTTTCCAGTGCACCGCAGGCTGGTTTCTACACAAACTCTCTCTCACACACACCCCTCTCTTTCCTCCATCCGCACCACCAGGAAACACTACTGAGTTCAGGGACACATTCCAGGCAACCACAAGCACCCCAGGAGGGTGGGAGACAGGGCTGACCAGAGGGAGAGAGTGTGGCTTGACCTCAGGATCCTCCGGCCATCAGTCAGCATTCTGTGGCCTCTGAGGATGCTCGGCCCTCATTTTTCAAAATATCTATTTTATTGATTTATCAGAAACGTAGAATTGTGTCAAACCCCCCCCCCCCCACTTTTTAGGGTTCCTTCCCTACAGAATTTATGTACTTCTGCAAATATTGGGTACCCCTGCTGATATTGCCCACTTGTGCGTGGAAAGTTCCATTTTCGATTGGTAAGAATTGGCTCTCACAGCCTGAGCATCAGAAACTCTTGTTTCTGGCTTTGAGGGACAGAAAAGCTTGCAGCCAGGCTATCTTGTAGGAAATATATTCAGCTGTGCTTTGTCGCCATCTTGTTGAGTAATATATTTTTGTTTTAATGCTGTTGTTGTGCTTTATTGGAATATTTGTACCCTGTCTTGGGAAACTTTCCGTTGAAGGGCAGTTTAACAACAACAACAACATTACTACTATTATTCTCATCACCATCTTACTATTAGAGAAGCCACAGCAGAATTAGTTCCGATGCGTCCAATGTTTATTTTAAATTGAGCCAAATTTGAGAGGGAACTATTGACTTTCGTGCACACTATATCAGAACAATTGGCTAGAGAGTTACAAAAGCCTGGGTCTCTCAGATCCCTCTTCCTTGTAAATTCCACTGCAGGAATGGGGCTTGAGGGCCACACTTATTCCTGGGCAATTTTTCTGGGGCAACTTGCCAGTTGTGGTCAGAGCAGAGTTAAAAGTCAATGAATGTGAATTTTGCTTTTGTTTGGTAGGCTAGTTTCTACACAAGCCCTCTGTCCTCGAGCCAGTCAACCAAAAAGCATTAATGGGGATCAAGGACTCTTTCCAGCTAGGCAAAAACAACCAGGCAGAGTGCAAAGCAGCACCAGTGAGGTGTATGGCCCAGGGGCAGCTCTGATGGGCTGGAGGGCTGCATCTGATCTCCAGTGACCAAGTTTCGCCATGCTTTACAACACAATGCAAGAAGTCCTGCCGCCACTCTGTACACCTCCTCACCCCATTCCAGCATGATTGGCTGGCTGGGGTAGGGAAACACACAGGCAGGATGACATCACGTTGCACCATGTGATGTCATAGAAATTGTGCGGAAGGAGGAGCTAGGGAGATACAGGGTGGCGGCAGTTTAGTATCCCTGATAACTCCGAGTTTCACTTGTGTTGTTGCTAGGAATTGCTTGTTGTTGTCAGGCTTCCAGGAATTGGCTTCCTCCCCCGTGGCACTCAGAATGGTGGTTCTCCCAATTAAGGATCCCACCCACTTCTGTCCCTATTAATCTACGTCACTCCTTCATCCTCTAATCTGAGCTTGTACCCTCTGTGCTTTCTGTTCTGCCACTTTCTGAGCTCTCCATGACTTTGGAGAAAGGGGAGTGAACACTGCCCAGAGACTGTGAATCTGTTAACCCTCTCTCTCCCAGTATTTCGTCTCCTAGCTGTTCCCCATCCAGTATTTCCCAGCTTCTGCCTTCTGAACTATGCCCCTCTGCAAACCACTGTTCCAAATCTATACTGTCCTCCTGCTCCTGGTAAGATTCAGGATGGGGATTTCAACAGGTCCCTGACAATTGTCCCGATTTGTTCTGTTTCTGGTTGGTGCCCTCACTCTCTTCTAACACTCCTTCCCTTCTTCCACCTCCAGAGAACTCAGTGGCGGCCAAATCGGGCGGTTGCTTCCCTGGATCGGCTTGGGTGAACCTGGAGCAAGGAGGCACCAAGCTGGTGAAGGACCTCCACCCTGGAGATCGGGTCCTGGCGGCCGACATGCAAGGGCAGCTGCTCTACAGCGAGTTCCTCGCCTTCCTGGACCAGGAGGAGCCTCCCGTCCGCAAGCTTTTCTACGTGATCGAGACCCAACGGCCCCGGGCGCGCCTCTTGCTCACGGCGGCTCACCTGCTTTTCGTGGCCCCACCGCAGAACCACTCCAAGCCCCAGCCTGTTTTCGCCAGCCACGTTCAGCCGGGTCAACGCGTCTACGTGCTGGGCAAAGGGAGCCAGATACTGTTGCAGGCCGAGGTGCGCAGCGTGTCCCTGCGGGAAGAGGCCTTAGGTGCCTACGCCCCGCTCACTGCTCAGGGCACTATCCTCATCAATCAGGTGCTGGCGTCGTGCTATGCGGTCATTGAGGAGCATAGCTGGGCCCACTGGGCGTTTGCCCCTTTCCGAGTCACTCACGCTCTCCTGGCGATGCTGTACCCCAGCGGCCTCTCCTCCCCAGTCCTTTTCCCAGCCGCTGCCCTGGACGACGCCCCAGCAGGAGTCCACTGGTATTCCCGCCTCCTCTACCACATTGGCCGCTGGGTATTGGATTCTGAGATGATACACCCACTGGGCATGGCCAGCTGAGGGGGACGGCTCTCCACACCCCACCTTGACCTGTCATAAGAACAGAGAATCACCTTATGTAAACTTCTTGGTGTCGTGAGCCGCTTTGAGCATGGTTTACCATGGGAAAGTGGCCTGCAAGTGAACAATGATGATGATGAAAATAGTACAAAGGGCAGGGAGCGGAGAAAACTAAGATGAAGAAGGAAAGAAAGAGAATGAAAGACTTTAAAACAATAATAATAATAGTAGGACAGTCCAAAGTAGACTTTAAGGAGCAGGAAGAGCCCAGGAATATCCCCCCCCCCCCAGTTTAGTTGAGAAATATATATATTTTTTATTTGATTTCTATTTTGTTGTCTGTTTGATTGTTTCATTGTGCTCATCTCCTGGATATTTATTTGTTTGGTATTTTGAAATAGATGTTTTAAAGGATATGAACCCGACCTTCAAGAGCCTTAAATAGTTTCTTTGATAATTTATTATCATGTGAACTGTACACTCAACGGGGAAGAAGAAAATTATTTTGCAAGGCCAAGCAAAAGTGCACAGAGTTCTATTTTTCTATGTGTGACACACCTCCAGACTTTCCAAAAGTAAAACTTCTGTCCCTCCCATCTGTACGTTGCTTTGCTCTTCTACAACAGCGAGTCCTGGAACAAACGGAAGACATACTACTCCATAGACGGGGGGGGGAGGGGGTCCGTAAATTATATTTTTATACACAGAATTGTAAATTCAATTTTTTTTAGAGAGAGAGAGAGATCAATACTTAACAGTCACATTTCATTTTTTTTGAAATAGTGTAAAATATAAGAATATATTATTTTAATTTAAATAGTATCAAATGTAATGTCAGCTTCTGTATTGTTTCTAATTGTCTTTGGAAATATTTTGCTTTGTATAAAAGATAACAGCCACCCCTTTCCAACCACACTCTTGGAACGCAAGACTGTTACACACACCTTGATTCATTTGCAAAACTCTGAGGAGGTGGGGGAGAAACTCTCTTATTTTTACCTTCAAAATCAAGAAGAAGAAATTTATGAGAAAATATTTTTTAAAAAGCGCACATGTTGGCTATTATGTGACAATGGAGAATAGTTTGTACAGAGGAGGGGGGCAAAGGATGTTTTGCATTAATAAACTGATAAATAACCGCTGTCAATTTACTAAAATGTATTTTTGAATATTTTGTAATAGTTTTAATAGTTTTATAGAAATAAAATGTGCCATGCACAGTCTGGTTAGTATATAATAACAAAGGATTCCTGGTGCATCACATTGTTTTTTTCTTTTTAAACTGTTGTTGAGGTAGGAAAATGTGAATATCTGACATCACCATTCCAAGGGCTGCTGTATGGCCAAAGCTCCCTCGTTATTACTTAGTCACCTTCTCAAATAACGTAGTCACCTTTGAACACTCCCGTGGCCATTTTCAGAGCTGTGCTAAAATCTCTGATCTTTAGGTAACTGAGGATGGATGAATCACTCAATTTCAGTTTCTCTAAATTTCTGCAGCCATCTGCATTTTTTTTTAAAAAAAATAATAATTAAAAAGTCCTCATGAAGATTCATCAGTATTTTAGCGCACATTTATTCCAATGTACACATTTTTATATGTGATTTTGACTAATATACACATCTCTGCAAACCATTTCCTTTAGCACAATGCTCTTTTTCTATATTATGCTCACTAATGTATTCCTTTGCACGAACACTTCTTATTCAAATATACACATTTTTGCACACATTGACTGGTTGGAGAACTGATTGGGAGATGTGTGAATTTCAAAGAATTGTGTTTTGGTTACTATCAAGATGCAGATATTGCCCTAGACTAGGGGTCTTCCATATTCTGCTGGACTCCAACTTCCATCATCCTTGGTCATTGGCTATGCTGGCTGGGGCTGATGGAAGCTGGAATCCAACAGCAACATCTGGAATAATAATAATAATAATAATAATAATAATAATAATAATAAATTATTTATACCCCACCCATCTGGCTGGGTTTCCCCCAGCCACTCTGGGCAGCTTCCAACAAAATATTAAAATACAGTAGTCCATCAAACATTAAAAGCTTCCCTAAACAGGGCTGCCTTCAGATGGCCAATGATTCCCCTAAGGTCCCTAAATCTTATGGGGACCAAGAAGGAGTTTGCCATGTGGTTTGTCAGAAGCCACATGCTTGACGTACTGTGGTGTTTGAACCCGAGTTCATTCTATGGAGGAGGGTTTTTGGATTATCCTCAGTTCACACTGAAGAGGACCTTTGGACCTCAGTTCAATAACAGGCCATAGACTGGTATATCTCCTTTCCTCTCTGACTAAGACTGTGTGTGCTATTACACACATGGCTTTTGAGTCTGCCAGTAATTTCAGGGCTGTAAACCCACCTTCAAGTGGGGAACTGAGAACTCTCTCCAAACTAAGTGATGGCCTTTAGGCCTGTTAAAATCATTCTCCCTTCACCTGGTGATGTGTCAATATCATCAAGGTTGTAAAGTCTTTGTTGATGGAATGTTAATACATCTGAGGTTATAAACTTAGTTTAGATTATGTACATTTTGGGGTGTGCGCTCTCTCTCTCTTTCTCTGTAAGTGATTGATAATTCCCTCCCTAATGTCTTTGCAAATAGGCACCTTAGAGGTTTTTCGTTATCAGCTATACTGGTGGTATAATCTTCCTGAATCCACTTTCCAAACTTTGAAGAATTATGCTACTTCAAGAAGAACCATATTGACCATAAGAGATTGACTTGCAGACCATACTATGGACAAGCAAGAGACATACATTTAACCTTGAAGATCACATTTCCTCCTGGGCTAGAGACAACCACTAGAGCAGGAATGGGGAACATCTGACCCTCTAGGTGTTGTTCCCACAAGCTTCAGTCAGCATGGCCAATGGTTGGGGATGATGGAGTTGGAGTCCAGCCACATCTGGAGAGCTGTAGTTTCTCCAACATTGATTTAGAAGCTGTGTATATACTTTGCACTAATGGAAGTCATCCATACTCCTGCGTAATCTACTGTATGAGTAAGTAGGTCACTGATCCTTTGTGATCTTCACTCTTCATTTCAGATATGATCTGCATCCCACCTGAAATATACTCGGAGTCGAGTGTGAATGTCATACTCTTTATTCAGCTCATAGTAGCAATGAATGAAACTTTCTCCAAAATGTCTAGCTATATATACATTATTTACACAATGAGCCCCATGTGATTGGTTAATTCCAAGCTGTAGGCCAATCAGGCTGCGGATTCACCTCCTCCAGAAGCCTGATTGGCTGCTCCTGCAGGCCAATCAGGTTGCTGATTCACTTCATCCAGGAGCCTGATTGGCTGCTCCTGCAGGCCAATCAGGTTGCTGATTCACTTCCACCTGGAGCTGGATTGGGTGGCTCCTGCAGACCAATCAGACTGCTGCAGTCTGGATCCTATTGTTCTAGGATTCAGCTCAGTACATAACACCACCCCTCTTCCAAGACATTTCAAGGGTGCTCCAACCATGGCTACAAATCCTGGAATCCATGAGTGAGAAGGGGAGAAAAACCTACATAAGTACTCCTGCATTTATGCACCAGAACTACTCCAAACTGCAAAGCACAGGCAGGAGCACTAAACGTTCACTTTGCACACTACAAGATGTAGTGTGGAAATAAAAACAAAACACCCCCAATATCTAGCACCCATCGTAGCAAAGTGACATTTGTGGAATTCTTTCCAGATATCTTCACAACAACTCTAGGATGTCAGTTAGTAATTACAAGCAGTGAGTAGAGGTTTGAACTAATTTAAGCGCTCATGCCAGCACACACAGGGCTTACCCCATTGTTATCCTCCCAGCAACCTTGTGTGGCAGGCAGGGCCAAAAAGAAGCAAGACATCAGAGGTCACAGTGTGTTGGGAATTTAAACCAGGCCCCCTTGGTTTTAGGCCGCCATTTTAACCACAGCACTGCACTGGCACTCAGACAAAGTGTACGGAAAGAGTACACCAAGAACAGGCTCCCAAAACAACTAGGCTACAAAAACATCTCTCCTTCCGCTACCTTCACCTGCCGAGCCGCTTTTACAAGATTGCCTGTAAATGTGCATGGAAAGCTTTCCCCTTCTATCAGCTAGCAATACTCACAATCTGTAAAGCATGTTAATGGTCAAATCATAATCTGAGTCCCTCTTCTGCATAACTGCCCAGTAAGCAAGCGATGCTCGCTAGCGGAAGTAGTGGTGTGTGTTGGGGGTGTAACTGCACGAGGAGACGTGGTTTGCCTAAGTCTTAAGACACCCTAGTGAAGGAGTGGGGGATCTTTTGAAGCACAAAGGTCAGCTTCTCTTCTGGGCAACTTTCCAGGTGTTAAAGGTAAAGGGACCCCTGACCATTAGGTCCAGTCGTGACCGACTCTGGGGTTGCGGCGCTCATCTCGCTTTATTGGCCAAGGGAGCCAGCGCACAGCTTCCGGGTCATGTGGCCAGCATGACTAAGCCGCTTCTGGTGAACCAGAGCAGCGCACGGAAACGCCGTTTAGCTTCCCGCCGGAGCGGTACCTATTTATCTACTTGCACTTTGACATGATTTCGAAATGCTAGGTTGGCAGGAGCAGGGACTGAGCAATGGGAGCTCACGCTGTTGGAGGGATTCGAACCGCCGACCTTCTGATTGGCAAGTCCTAGGCTCTGTGGTTTAACCCACAGCACCACCCGCATGTTGGAGGGGGCCAAATGCAAAAGTGGGCAGAACAATAAATGTACATCTGACCTTTGAACAGTGCACCCTCCTCTCTTAACAGGAGTGAATCATAGAATTGTAGAGCTGGAAAGGACCACGAGGATCATCTAGTCCAACCCCTTGCAATACAGGGATCTTTCCCCCAATGCGGGACTCGAACCCACAACCCTGAGATCAAGAGTCTCATGCTCTACCAACTGAGCTATCTTGAAGTTAGCTACACACACTCCTCTGTGGCTACAATCTGGGCACGCCTAAGTATTATTAGAGTTCAATGGGACATTCCAGCCAGGCAAAAGACACTCATAATATCCTAGCAAGAGCCTGCTGGAACAAGTCAATGGCCCATCTGGCCCAGCACCCTGTTCACACGGTGGCTAACCAGATTCCTGTGGGAAACCTGCAAACATGACCCAAACGCGAGAGCACTCTGTGGCTTCGAGCAACTGGTCTTCAGAAGTTTTACTGCCTCTAGTTGTGGAGGCAGAGCATAGCCATCGTGCCTTTGTAGCCATTGATAGCTCCCTCTTTTAAAGCCATCTAGCTTGGTGGCCGGGACACGGGTGGCGCTGTGGGTTAAACCACAGAGCCTAGGACTTGCCGATCAGAAGGTCGGCGGTTCAAATCCCTGCAACGGGGTGAGCTCCCGTTGCCTGGTCCCTGCTCCTGCCAACCTAGCAGTTCGAAAGCAAGAAGTGCAAGTAGATAAATAGGTACCGCTCCAGCAGGAAGGTAAACGGCATTTCCGTGCGCTGCTCTGGTTTGCCAGAAGCGGCTTAGTCATGCTGGCCACATGACCCGGAAGCTGTACACCGGCTCCCTCCGCCAATAAAGTGAGATGAGCGCCGCAACCCCAGAGTCGGCCACGACTGGACCTAATGGTCAGGGGTCCCTTTAGCTTGGTGGCCATCACTGTCTCCTGTGAGAGAGCGTTCCATAGATTAACTATGCGTTGCGTGAAGAAGTATGTTCTTGTGTCTGTCTCTCATCTTTCAACATTCAGTTTCATTCGATAGCCATCATTGGTGGCGTCATTGAGAGGGAGAATTCCTTTTCTCTATCCCCTTTCTCCATGCCACGCATAATTTTTATAAACTTCTATCATGTCACTCAAGGAAGGGTGCAAAGCAGGGCCCATGAGGCGGGTGGCATGAGGAGAGGCCAGAGGCCAGAGAGCCACATACAGTCATACCTCATCTTACGTTTGCTTCATGTTACGTTCTTTCAGGTTACGTCCCGCAGCGACCCGGAAGTACCAGAAAGGGTTACTTCCGGGTTTCGCACAGATATGGCACTTCAGGTTGTGCTCTTTTCATGTTGCGAACGGGCCTCCGGAACGGATCCTGTTCGCAACCAGAGGTACCACTGTATAGAAGACTGGGGTGAGGGGTGTTTGGACCCTGGGCTCAATTTTTCCACCTCTGCCCTAGTGAGTTGACTATAGAGGGAAGATTTAAACCAGTGGTTTGCAGCCCAGTCTCTTAGCTGAAGGCACCAGCTCTCAGTCACAAAACTCAAATGAACACCAATAT